TACTAGCCATGTTAACTGGCTTCAGTCATCAAGTGATGAAATATGTTCTCACGGAGGTTATTACATGTAAGCATTTTGCATAATGGTTTCACAGCAAAGAAAAATCCTCCACCCTTTGTAGTAAATGTAGGTCTCTGGGACACTATATAACATAATCTCATAAAATAAAATAAGTTTGGAAGCCTTTCAAATACTGGGAAGGAACAGCAGGCTGTGGGTGGGCTGCCATACTCTGCGAAGGCCGGCTGTTAATACCCAGATGTCGAATGCCAATTTTCCATTTACTGCTGTAAAATAACAGACTGTCATGTGGTAAAAATAACCACGACAGGCAGACAGAGCATTCCAATGTTTGCTTCACCTACAGCACTTAGGCAAGAATGTGTCTGCGAAACTTCATTAAGCATTTATCTCGCTGCTAGACCAAAGGATACATTTCATGTTTGTGATTCGGGGAGAGGAGGGGGGGTCAAATATTTACTGCCCCAAATCTAATGCAACGGTATAACCCAGGGAATATCAGTCAGGTGACAATGGCAAAGAATCACAGAAAGAGTTACTTTCTTCCAACCCTGAAGAAGAAACCTTATAAGAAGAAGGAAAACAGCATTATCGCTAATGCTTCTCTTCCTTGCTCTCAGCTGCTCTGTAGCATTCCTGCCTAGAGCATTCCCCTACCCACTTCTGCCTGGCATTCTGCCACAGATTTAAAGAAACAGTCCACACAATCTTGCAATCATGTTTGCTGAATCTAATAGTTAAAGAATGCTTTTCAACCAGGTTCCGTCTGACTTCTGTTTAGACCCAATCATGCTCCCATTGAAGTCAAAGGCAAGGGTCTAATGGGACTTCAAAGCAAGATCAAACCCATGATATATGCTAAACATTTCAGCTAGTGATTGGTGCAAGTGTTTAGAAGAAAATATCTCCTCTTCCCTCTAAATGAACCTTTACCCAAGTCTAGAACCAAATCAGCATCCAGTACTAGATTATCTGACACTGGAGTAAGATTCTTCATGGGAAGACGTTTTCTTCTGGTCTAGTGTAAAAAGCAGATTTCCAGGCACTTATGACCCTACAGCTGCTCAAGTAAGTTTGACAAAACAGATAGATCACCCTCTTATGCCGCCAGACTCTCTCTTCTCAAAAAGCATACAACGCCAAACTCCAGTCACTTTGAATTAGGCTTAGTCAGTCTTATTCGGTCGGCTAGGTCAGAACCAAATCCCTGGATACAAAGGTCCCTCAACTCTGTGTTTCTACCCATCTCGCCTTTTCTTTCTTGGTTAATTACGCTTCTAATGCTCCTATGATTCCTCACTCTCTAAGCAAATTAAAATAATCTCAAACATCAAGTGGTCACTCTGCCTGTGATTTTTACTGCAAGGCTCTTATTCTGCTTGTATTTTGCCATAGTCTTTCTTTCCCTGCTTTGTCTTTTATGTATGTTTTGTACTTCTGTGTGCCCTTTGTTGGTAATTATCTGCTTAATTATACAACAGTATTTAGTTATTTGTAATGGCTTCTATATTATGGACTGTTGTACTTTACTACTGGTTTTTTATGATGTCTATGAGACATACTGACTTTCTGGATGTGCCTGGGATTGTGTAGACCAAAATGCTGACTAAGATAGGCCCAGATCCTGCAAACACTTGTACAGGAGCGGTCCTATTAAAGTCAGTTGGATTACTCACGTGGGTAAAGTTACTCACATGCATAAGAGTTTGCAGGATATGGGCCATAATTTATGATTTCCTGTCTCTTGCATTTCATGAAAATCTAATAAAGAACGGGAAAAAGGAAAAAGTTAAACATTGTTTGCCTTGATTTTTTCAACTCTTTTCAACAAAGGATCAGATTCTGATACCCTCACCTCCCGTGGGTGGGCCTTATAGTATATGTGGTCCTAAAGATTTCAATGGGTCCACTTGTGGAGTGAGTTGCTATTCAATGTGAGAAAAGGTGTCAGTAAATTCCGACTCTTAACAGCAGACATTTGGTCTGTATTAAATTATGGCTGTGAAACATGGACATTCAAATAACTGACAATAAAGAGACGACTAGTCTTCAAATTATGAAGTTATAGAAGAATTCTGAAAACATGACAGATAGTTTATGTAACTAACAAAAAGTATTGGAACTCAACAAACACTGGTCGGAGATCTTATGAGGAGAAACGTTCAATTTGCAGGACACATTTTAAGAGGTTCACAGGCGATGCATGTTTATGGGCACTGGAAAGGAAAGCCGATGGCAGAAGAACATGAGGCAGAAAAAAAAGACCTTGGATGGAAGATGTGGATCAAAAGGACTATTCATCCTCAAAGAGATTAGCAGGGGATTGTACAGAACGGACTACTATGGTTGCAAACCTCCAGTAATGGAGATGCCACATTAGAAGAAAAAAAAAAGATGTCAGACTTTGAGCCGTAGGCTGTAAGTGGGCTCATGCAATTACCATGATAGTATTAGTGCCATCTTCTACCATCGAGCTCCATGCATACATGCTGAGTTTGCTTCTGATACGAAGAGAGGGACAGTCCTCCCCAATGATCTCTCACCGGACCCTTTCCCACTTCCCTCAGCTGTCTCCTGTCACAAAGGGAGAGACACCCCTCCCCAAATGCCTGGTTCCCCTTCCCATGTAATAGGATGGGATTCCCAGATTTTGGTCCTAATCTTCCAGCCAATTTAAAGTAAAATAGTCAGATTAAAAATCATGGGTTTTAGAAATGTTTCCTGAGCTTTGTTGCAAATAACACTGTGCTATGAATTCGCACCAAGGGAATGGCACTGTCTTAACGAGAGAGATTTAGGGTGGGGTTTTCAGTAGCACTGAGCACTGGCCTAAGTCGGCTCCAATCGAGCAGCCTGGGTTCTAGGCCCCAGATTTTACAGATAAATCTAGAGCTAGCTCTAACACTGCCCGAGGGTAGAGATATATGCCACCCCCTCACAACACAGGAAAACAGGCCCATGTGGGACTGTAGGCCGTCTGTGTTAACTTCAATCTGATATGCAGCAGTATCTATTCTGGCACTGTATTTGGAGTGCTTGCCAAGCCTTGGTGTTTATTTCTGACCTGGAAAGGCACAGTGAAATCTCTTACAACATAGTGGCTCTTATTTTAAACAAGCAATAAGTAGTAGCAGTAGTAGTAGTAGTAAGAGAGTGACCCTTATGAACATGTTAACCTGAGTGAAAGAAACTGAATCCTCAGTAAACAACAGGCAGGTTCTGCTGCAAACTGGTGGGGATGAGTGGGTGATTCTCATTTGTTAAAGTTGGCGCCTGAGGCTAACTGCCAGTAGATGACAATAAGCCAGTTGCCCTGTTCTTTGCCCTGAACTTTACTTATTCTCCAGTAGGACTCTGCCCCCCGCAACCAAGCATGTGTGTTACAGGATTCCTTTCACAGATGCCTCAATACTGCAGCTGTTCAACACTCACCCATATGACACAGCCTGAATCTCTAATGGAGAACCAAGGTCCCTGGCACACTGGGCATATGGTGCAATGACAGTCTCACCCGTCTGGCTTGTTGTATAATCAAACAATAGTTTTCCTCTGCTCTTGGGTATTTGGTTCAGCCAAACTCCAGTCTGTCTAGTTAAGCGGTTTGGGCCAGCTCCATCCATAATGGACAGGGTCTCTCTTTAGTAGCATGCTGCCAAGGGAGAGAGGGCAGGGGCCGTTGGCCCTGATTCAGCAAGGTACTTAAGCATGTGCTTACCTGTAAGCATATAGGTAGTCCCACTGAAGCCATGTGGCTAAGCATCTTCTCCAGCATATTACCATGCAACTCCTCCCATCACTCTCAAGTCTCTAATGTGTTCTGGCTACTGGGACACATCCTGGGCTAACGCCCAGCATCTCCCCTGGCTGGGTGGTGACACCAAACCGAAATCAGCATTTTAGGATGTTTGCAGTTCTTTCTGCTTCCCTCCTCTAGCTCACATTCCTGCTGTCTCCCCCTTTCTCCACCACTCATAAGAACATCCATACTGGGTCAGACCGATGGTCTGTCTAGCCCAGTATCTGCTGATGGTGGCCAGTGCCAGAGCTTCGGGGGAAGTGTACAGAACCAGGCAGTTGGTGCGATCCACCCCTGTCTTCTGGCAGTCAGAGGTTTAGAGTCACCTCGAGCATGGCGCTGAAGCCCTGACTATCTTAGCCAGTAGATGGACCTATCTTCCATGAACTTTCCCCTTACACCTGCCTCAATGGGATCTGGTGGGAGGGATCTAGTGATCAATGGAACTTGTTCTATATATTAAGAATTCAGGTCTTCAGAGAGGTCTTGATCCTTGTTATCTCTTCACTCTAGTGTCCAGGTGTCACTGTGGCAGAGGAGGGAACTGGTGCACACAGAGGCTAAGTGAGTTACTCATGGGCACACTGGAAGGCCTGTGTCAGAGCAAGGAACTGAAACCAGGTCTCTCACCGCCTAGTGCTCTCACCAATGGGCCATCCTTCCTCTCCTTCAGGATCAAGACCACTCTGCAGACCTGAATTGCAAATGCATGAAGGCTGTGGGACAATCTTATGCTGGCTCTGCGCTGACTTCGACGACTCAGGATTTACATCGGTATAACTTGACCGAAGAATTTGGCCTTTGGGCTTGCTCTCCAGAAGGAAAAGCATTTGCTCTTGTTGGTTTTAGAACACATCATTTGAAACAAAAAAAGCAAATAGGTGTAATGAGAAATAGATAAAAAAAAGAAAAAGGGAAGGGGCCAAGTTCTGCAGCTGAACACACACATACAATTCCCTGGGCGAGATTCTCTGTTGCCCTGCATCTTGTGTAGTCAATTACACCAGTGAAAAGCAGAATGGTGAGCAGCGTGTACACACTTTTTGCACTCACTATGACTGATGTAATGACTACAGGAGGCGCAAGGCAACGGAGAATCTGGCCCAGGTGTTTAAGGGAAACCACACATGCACAACAAAGGGCAGAATTTAGCCCTGTGAAAGTAAAGGAAAACTGCACCTACCTGTGGATGTTGTCTTCAAGCTTTTTCACTCTGAGCTCATCCTCTTCTGACTGCCTCCTTCTGGCTTCTTCTTCTTCTGCTGAGCCAGCGGGAATACCCTGCAGCAGCCATTTTTCTCGAAGCGCTTTTGACTACATGGGGGAAAAAAAAGAGAAGAGTCGTAAGAAGGAAAACTGTATTCCCTGAGCTGGAGGAGAAGCCAAATCTGCTTTTAAATATTTGATAGCCCTCCCTGAATCACTAATTAGCACTTTAAATATTATACACATCATACACACTAGCTAATCCTTGAGGGGTTTAGCCAGATGTCAGGTCAGCCAGAAGTCAGAGTGTCCGTTTTACAGTATATACTATATGCGCCACTGATTTGTCAATCTGAAGTTATTTGTAATTGCTAATGAAAACTGAATTTCCAACCACTCAAACTAACCACTCCTAGAAGTGAAATCCCAGCCCGGATATAGGCCATCTTATGAGCCATAATGCAAGGGCTCGGAGGGATATCCACATAAAATACTTATAGAATCAAAAGCAAAGAGCGATGCTCCAACAGAAAGCAGTGGGATCTAAACATAACATGCTTTAGAAAAGTGAAGGTGATTAAGGCCATAGATGTTCGTTGTGATTTTTTAAAGTATATTTACCAAAAGCAGTGCCTATGGAAATGCTCACAATCTCCTAGCCAAACCAAGACAAAAAAAATCTTACATCAGTATGTGCTAGTTTAACAGCAGCTGGGTAATGAACATCAGCCCAGGACTGTGGTAACAAGTGGCAGTAGCACACACTCAATAAGGTGATACATTGGATTCTCACCATATTTTCCATATATTTCCCCCTCAGCCTATCAGAATTAGTACAGTCTCATCTGGAGTGAGCTCCTACCCGGTAGCTGTCATCCAATGAGACACACTGGTGAATCTATGGGTGGTAAGATACACTTAGGGTGTTGGTACGCCTAAAGCACACCGGCGTGTGCCTTCTCACTAACCCCTCTCTCCCGATGGTCCGATATACATGCTGTATAAGAGGGTAGACAAGATGGAATGCCAGACAACAGCACCTTTAGGAATGAAGGCTAAATTGTCCGATGCCAGCCTCTGGGAAAGAAAAAGGAACAAGGAGGAAATGAAGCTGCCATATTTACTATTGCTACAGTCAGCAAGTGAGTCAACAAGAAATCAAGATCAGTGGTATCAGAGACAGCGTATAGATCTCACTTTATCAGCATGGTCACTCAGGATAGAATTTTCAAAAGCACCTAAGTGATTTAGGAGCACACGTCCCAGTGACTCTCAAAGGAACTTGTGCTCCTAAGCCACTTCAGTGCTTTTTCATCTCAAACTCCCCGTTAGTACCTGGCCCAAGCCGGGGAAGCTAATGATCCAACCAGCAGACCAAATTCGGTGATGAATCCTGGTCACGTGCCACCTGTGGCATGTTGCACATATGCTAAGAAGAAGTGCTTTTAAAAATCCCACCCTTAATCTTCATCCATTGCCAGCAAGAGATCATTTACCAAATCCACAAGTGCAGTTCCTGTTCCATACCCAGGTCTGTACCCACACTGACAAGAATCAAGAAGATCTGAGGCATCTCACTATTCAGAGTCATCCAACAGCCTTAGACTCATAGACTTATAGACTTTAAGGCCAGAAGGGACCATCATGATCATCTAGTCTGACCTCCTGCATATTGCAGACCAAAGAACCTCACCCACCCACTCCTGTAATAGGCCCATAACATCTGGCTGAGTTATGGAAGGCTTCAAATCTTCATATAAAGACTTCAAGTTACAGAGAATCCACCATTTACTCTAGCTCAAGCCAGCAAGTGACCCTTGCCCCACTCTGCAGAGAAAGGCAACCCCCCCGCCCAAGGTCTCTGCCAATCTGACCTTGGGGAATCTTCCTTACCATCCCCAAACATGGTGATCAGTTAGACCCTGAGCATGTGGGCAAGATCCACCAGCCAGACAGAATTCTTTCCAGAATTGTAGAAACTCAGAGCTTTCCTCATCTACTGTCCCATCTCCAGCTATTGGAGATATTTGCTAATAGCAGTCCTGGATGGGCCATCTGCCATTGTAGGCAGTCTCATCACATCATCCACTCCATAAACTTATCAAGCTCAGTCTTGAAACACATTACGTTTTTTTGCCCTCACTTGGAAGGCTGTTCCAGAACTTCACTCATCTGATAGTTAGAAACCTTCATCTAATTACCAGCCTAAACTAGTTGATGGCCAGTTCATATCCCTTTGTTATTGTGCCACCCTTCTCTGTTTCAACCAGATGAGATACAAAACGATAGTTAGCCAGATTGTCAGTATCAAGTGATGGTTTCTTTAGCAAAGGCTACACAATAGCCTGGCCACCTGCACTCCCTAAGGGCCAGACTTCCCTAGCTCATAGTGAGCAGCGCTTACTCCACATATAGTTCAGCAGAAGTCAATGGGATGATCTGAGTGGGAAATTACTACTTGGAATGTGTAAAGGTATCATAATGCAGCCCTAAGGACTGTGTTGACAATCTCCACCAGAAATGATTTGTCCAGTGCCCTTCACTAGCTAGGAGGATAGGAGTCCAAAGGGCAGGTTGCAGAATGAAGCATCCCTGGCTGATTTTGTGAGCCTCATGGGCCTGAATCCACCCAGAAGAGACTTAATGTTTGTCCACTCCAAGTCCCACCCTGCATCTGATTTTATCCACAACGGAACCAGCAATTTCCTCACAATGGGAGAGGTTTGTGTCAGTCACCCAGTGAAAGCAGCGTGGATTGTTCTGCTGTTTACCACTTGAAATCCCATGAACAAATGGAGGGGGTGAAGAATCTCTCTTGCCCCTGCACAGCTGCAGCATAAACATTCAAAACCCCTTAATTTTGTAATTAAACTTCCACCTGAAACGTCCACTGCTGGCATTCCAGCTCTCTTGCTTCATTTGTACTGGTCATCTATGACCACAGATAACCTGTGCGGGTGAAGCCAGAGAAGATGGTGCTTATTAATGGCCAATTTTTTTTTCAGCATCCTGCCAAATACTCCAGTGTGGTTTGCCAGAGAAACATATTTTATGACTTTTGGAAAAATTCCTTGACACACGCCTAATTCCAAATCTGAGCCCATCCGCCTGATCTAGAAAGCGACCAGGTGTGTGAGTTTATCCCCTCTGCAGTCTACAAAGTGAAGCCGTTAAAGGAAATTGACAATTCAAATAGGTTTAAATTCAAAGGCTGCCCAAACCTGCGACATCAGACTTTTTAATGAAGTGCTGAGGTCTCTAGGTGTTATAGAACCAGATTTGTGGAAACTCAGTATAAAAATAAACAAACTGCTTTTTGGCAGTAAAGAAAAAGATCAGTCATTTTGTTTGTGGCCAGACAGACACACATGCACACACAACCTGTGCATAAGCTATTTGATATCACTGGGAGATCTACTGCATATCAGAGAAGCAGATTTTAATGTGATAGCTTGGCACAGAAGTACTGTGAAATGAAAAAGCAAATGAGACTTTATAAACAACCCCAACTCCCACTGGCTTTATTGGGCTGTGGATCAGGCCCCTTGCACCTTAAAAAATAACCCCTCCCATTCATAGAACAGAGAATTTCCGATACTGTAGATGGGGTGTCAGCTACAACTGAATGTTGTGAGTTTTGCCATTGACATGAATTGTTCTCCAGGCCACTAATCTACCTTCTAGTTGTGTCTTCCTCCAACAATGATCGATACTTTATGCTTCAGAAGAAAGCAAAATCATCAACTCAGTTGTGCCATGCTATACATGGAGGCATGGAGTGAGAGTGTTTGGGGTTATTTTTTCCTAACCCTGGCAGTTAATCATTCTGGTCCTGATTTAGCAAAGCATTTAAGGACATGCTGAAGTCCCGCTGACATTAGGTACAGGCTTAACTGCTTTACTAAATTGCCCCCAGGTATGAGACTGTATTAAACGTGCCTCACTAACTATTATGAATAGACATATAATTATCCAGCCCTTTAAAAAAATCCAGCTTCCAATGAGCAATGAGTTCCACGGGTTGGCTGTGCTTGAGACACTTAGCATTTCTTTGCACTCGTTCTCGGTGTACTGTCTTTTAACTTCATTCCTCTTACAAACTGTGGGGGGGACCGGGGCTCGAACCCAGACGGGACTCCTGATTGCTGTGTTCTAACTGACGGGCCATGGTGCTGTGAAACTGTTTGACATGTCACACTATTTAAAACCAGCGCCATCTTTTACAGCAATGCATAATTCTTAAAACCAGGCAAAGGAGCACACAGATTAATTATAATGAAATGCTCGAGTGGTTCTTAGCCAGGGGTACACACACCCATGGGGGGTATGCAAAAATCTTCCAGGGGGCACTCAACTCATTTAGATCAGTGGTTCTTAACCTGGGGGTTGCAGCCCCTGGGGGGTCACAGGACGGGTTTAGGGGGATCACAAGTGCTGGGCTGGCATTAGAAGGTGGCAAGCGGGTCAACTGCCCAGGGCCCTACACCACAGGGGGCCCCATGAAGCCAGCTGGGGCTCAGGCTTCAGACAAGGCTCACAAATGAAAAACAGACTCAAATACCATGTTTATATTCCAATTGATTAATTTTATAATTATATGGTAAAAATGAGAACTCAGCAATTTCTCAGTAATAGCGTGCTGTGACACCCATGTATTTTGATGTTTGATTTTGTAAGCAAGTAGGTGAAACTTGGGCTATGCAAGACAAATCAGACTCCTGAAAGGAGTACAGTAGTCTGGGAAAGGTTAAGAACCAGCCTGGTAGAGGTAGGGTTGCCATTTTTGGTTGGACGCATTCCTGGAGGTTTCATCACATGACATAATCTTTAATTAAAGATTAATAAAATAAATAATTAAATTAGTAGAGATATTGTATCTCCTAGAACTGGAAGGGACCTTGAAAGGTCATCAAGTCCAGCCCCCTGCCTTCACTAGTAGGACCAAGTAGTGATTTTGCCCCAGATCCCTAAGTGGCCCCCTCAAAGATTGAACTCATAACCCTGGGTTTAACAAGCCAATGCTCAAACCACTGAGCTATCCCTCCCACCCTTTGATTCCTGGAGACTCCAGGACAATCCTGGAGGGTTGGCAAACCCTCGGTAGAAGA